CTTCAGAACACCTCAATCTCCAGGTTTTCCTCCAGATCATACAACATCCTGACATCTTTTGCTGTGTTAAAATTCTCAAACTCTCGACTGAAGTGCAGTATTGGACTATTCCACACCTTCACCACACAGATTAGAACAGTTCAAGAAGGCTTAACGCTATAACCTTAAGAATAGAAAGATGGGCAATTAGTACCAACTTTGCTTGCAAAATTCAGGCCTAGAGATATTTTTTCAATAGAATTTATTAGAATTTTACCCCCATTTGAAACATTTAAAAATTTTATTTTAAAATTTCTAAATGTCATGTCTGCATATGAAAAAATCATATTTTCAAACTGAGGTAAATAGTTGCCTCTAGACATGAATGATGATTGAAACTTCAATATTGCATTAATTTGGCATTGCAACTCAGGAAATTGGAATTTACATTAGATTATGTGTAAATAACCGTGCATAATTTAGTATAGGTGAAACTGCTCAAGAAATTTGTCAAATTGGCAGAAATTCTGGCCAGTACAGGCTATATTCTACTCCTTTGTGTGCAGATAAAACCACTGTGCATATTTTATTGTCTAGAATACTGTCAACTGTGTACAACATGGTAGCAAGTTGTAGCAATGAAACAAAACAACCAAAACTTTGGACCCTAAAAATATTGGCACTATTTTGTGTTTTGCCATAGACTTGGTTAACTACAGAATTTTCTTTTTGTTGGCAAAATACTAATCTTGTAATTTATCATAGTGTGAAGAACATTATTTTCTGTAGATGATTTGTTATAGTTTATTCTTTTCATAGCATTTAAGACCCCCGTGTTATTCTTAATATTATTTAGATCATAATTGCTTGCAAGTTTCTGTTCACATAAGTATTAATCAACCTTCCTTTTAGAAGCAACACCTATGAATTAAAAGTGATGTCTGTGATATCCATTTGCTGTAAAATTGACATTTTTTAAATCTATACATATGTTATTCATTGGGATTCAAAAAAGTGAAACAGTATTTATTTGTTTGGAAAATAATTGCATATTTATTTTAGATTTACTGTCAATAAGCTGTAAACAGAGGTTATTTTGCAGTATTTTGCTTAATATGTAAACTCAGCGTTGTGACATCAGCATTATAAGGTGCAGCTCACATCCTTGATCTGTTCTTTCCTCAGGCATGCTACATGGATTTGTGGGGTTTTTTGTTGATATTATCTGTTGTCGCTTCAGACTTGGAGCTTATAAACCTAAATCTGTAAGTTTACTTTATTTGTTTTGTGTCATTTCATCACATTTCAGTTTTTTAAAGCTCTTTAAACTTAGGTAGTCTGAGTGCATCAAAAGCAAACTCCTCACTATCAAATTGAGATTCTTGGGTTAAGTCCAAGGAATGCCTGTCACATTTTTGAACCATTTGGAACGCAATTCTAAATCATAAGGATTATAATGAAAATCTAGTCACAAAATATATAAAACAGACACAGGAGATGGTTTCACTGCAAAGTGTATTTTCAATTTTATTTGTTTACAGTAATGTAAGTAATATCCTCTTGACTTTTTAGTATTCAGTATTAAAAAATGTGGAGAATTTACTCAAACAAAAATTAAAGTTATTTTATATTTTGAACATGGTGACAGAAGTACAGCCTGGTACAATTAGATGCTCAATAAAGCTCATTTAATTCTCCAGTCTATGATAAGCACTGGCTTTATTCGACATGATGAAACCATAGTAAACCACTCTGTGGTGTATCTCTGTGATCAATAAATTAATCCCAATGTGCGAAATTAGGAGTAGTGTTCTAAACAGCTGATATTACTATTGAATAAGTCAGATACCAGAATGAAATCTGGCCTGATGGCTGATATTTTGTTTCCTTTTTCAGTTTGACATGCTCATCTTTCACTAAACATAAGCACACAAGGCTGCATATTTGGTTTTAACTGTAAAACACATTTATTGCACAGAAGAAATGAAAATAAAATGAAACAACCTATCTGAATATAACATAGTTTTAAAGATTTAAACACACGACATAACAAATTCCCATCTCCCCCCACCACCCTGGCCCAAACACATGACCATTTTACAGTTACTCAATTCCAGAGAAATTCCTTCCCTGTCAAATCAGCAGGTTTGACTAAACTGCTTCATATTTTCAGTCCTGTGAGCTCTGGGGTTTTCACCCTTGACCACTGTCTCATTTGAGAGCTTAGGCTTTCTTAATCTTTTAATAGTCTGCATAGTTCTAACAAAACACTCCTAGTCTGGAAGTTTCATAAGCTACGCTTTTTCACTGAGGCAACCAGTATTTCCTTAACTGCTCTAAACAATCTCCTTTTGTAGGAGAGAGTATCTTACTTCAGTCAGGCATCCTTCAAACTACCCAAAAGCTTTTGGACTAAATTTAGAAACAAACTTGCTCATCTGCAAAGCTAATGGCTTGATATCTCCTTTCTCTGGTTGTTAAACTCCAGTATAAATAAACTTTCCTTAACACATCAGGAGGCAGAAACTGGTTTAAAATCATGGTTCCAGAAAGACTAACCTAGTTCATTTGTTTAAACAGCTTCACAAAAATAGACCAATACCCACATACCACTAGTTTAAAATCTAGTCTTAAAAACATGAAATATATGTATATACACCACACACATCTTTCCTCACGACAGTGAGGTACCTGTGATGGAGCTAGAATTTAAGTTTGGTTGTAGTTTGTAGCCCTCACATCAATCAAATTACTCATCAAATCCTGCAATTATAACAGCTGTGCATTTTTTTTTTTAAAAAACACTCCTCTTCACTGTCCAGCAATCCAGATGCCTCTCTTACCTGTCAAACATTGAGAATGAGAAAGCAGAAGTGACAGAAAGTGAAACATTTGATGGGGCTTCCACCTTATTTTCATACGTACATTTATCTTGAAATGGAAAGGTACTTCCTAAGCCACCCAAATGAAGATGGGAATTGAGGGATGTACTAATGTTCGCAGAGTTATGGAACAGAATGCCAGCATGTTTTATAATTCCAGCTGCCACATTATAGTGGTAAAGTGGATAGTTACTTGGAAAATCTATGCTTATATGCCTTATTTCTGGTCCCATGAGAGCACTTCCAAGATAATCTATCCTAGGGATTTTTAAGTTAGGCTATTGAGCATTGCTGAGTTTTGGCGCTTTTGCATGCTGCATTTTACAGCTGAGAGCTGAGTTGATACTATTCTGGCTTATTTTGTTCAGAATCATCATAGTACCAAAGAAAGGACACTTCTTTCATACAAGCCTGGCAAAGGCAAAGCAAAAACCAGACAAAGCAACACTACAGAGAATTCCATCCCATAAAGAGAATTCCGAAAGCAGTATCAGTTATATTCAAATGAATATAAAAGATGTGCTTGAACTAACTGGACCAGTAGTTGGAATGTAAACGACAAGAAATTGTTTCAAAACTGGGGAACCCTGATGCTAGGGCCATGATTTGAAGACTTAGACGTACAAATAGTGAATGCCAGTTTACTAAAACAAAGTTCAAAGTGGATCATTTCCAAGCCAAACAACTACTATAAGAAAGTACCTTATAAAAGAGGCCAGAAAAATGATAATATGCTTTGTCAAGACAAATACAACATTAAAGTATGTGTAGATCTATTGTGTACTACTAAAAGGAATGCTGACAATCCTAGGGTTTTAGAAATGATTCCAAGAACAATGGAAACAGCTATAAGCTCTGAAATCAGAGTTAAGATGGCCAAAAATTGTTTTTATTTTAAAATGAATATCTAGCCTGAAAATTATAGGAATAATGATAGAAATGGGAGATTGAAAATGTGCAGGGTCACAAAACAAAAAAAACAAAGATCTCTTAACAGATGCTGCCAGATGTACTGAGTTTTTCAAGCAATTTCTGTTTTTGTTACAAGTTTGATTGGAACTAAGTTACAGTATCTTCTTAGCTTCCAAAGTCACTACTGTCCGTTAAATCTGTGATTCTTAGGAGAACTGTTTAGCTAAAATATTGATAATTCACCTACCCTAGGATGTTGGCAGAGAAGGATCCAAGCAGAAAGTAATACCGTAGCAAGCCATTATCCAGAGGTTAGGCTTAAAACTTTAAGACCCATATTTGAAGAGAACTAATAGTTCCCTTACCATACCTCCATAGAGAATGGCCAAGTTATCCACAGTGAAATTATTGGAATCAGTCAACAATATTTGCATCCCATCACACCAAAAAGGCAGAAGTAGGCTATTAAGCTCCTTGAACCGATCTGTCATTCAACAGGATCATAGCACAATTGTATCTCAGCTGTCTTCTCTAATCTTGGAACTATTTTCCTTAATACTCCTACATAACAAAAAACAATTTAATAATCTGACTTGGAACACTTATTGGCATAGTATTTACAAATGTTCCTAAATGTCGATCTTGAGCATCACATTGATTAGAAATGTGACTGACCCTTAGCAAAAACAAAATGTGGAACAACATTTACTTCCATAAAACAATGTTTGTAATTAGAATGAGGCATTTTAATAGTTTGAGAGGAGAGTTTCTGAAAAGAATGAATTGTAGCTTTGTCTTCTTAAATTTGCCATCTTCATCCATTTGCAAATCTGATATTGTCTGTTCAAATGCAAGTCTTGCTGGTCCAAACAAAAATTGGCTCAACAAGCAAAAAAGAAGCATTAAACTCTATTATCTAACAACTCAGCCTTGCCTTAGGTTTTCTTTTGCTTAGGGGTTTAATCATTTGTTCTTTTATTAAGTTTAAACAATTCAGTGGAAGTAGTGTTACAGTTTGGAACATTTTATTTACTGCAGTATTTCTATTGCAGTTTACAGCATTTGGTTTACAATTAAACATCTGAAACATGCATCATGTATATACACATACTGTAGTTAAAAACATTTACCTGTCACATTGCAAGTGGTAAATTTCACTGTAAATTCACTTGAGCCTTATATTTGAATACAATTAGAGCTGTACACAAAGTTTCCTTTGTTTCTATGTTGATTTAAACACACAATACTCTAAAAGAAAATCCCACCAAGTAGTAGTTGTAATTTTTACAAAATTTATTTTAATGAGTAATGCTTATTAATGCAAAGTTATTTCATACAGGTGGAAAATAATTCTAGGACACTGTTTTAAAGCGTAGCTAATAACTTTCAAATCAAACTAATTTTGTATATTTGTCTAAACATATATAACTTTAATTGAAATAATATTCCTTTCAGCCAAAACTTTTTAATGCATGTTTTGTTTTCCAGGTCCCCATACTCGATGGTCACATGAATAATCACTCCCTTCCAATTTTAGATGATGTTGAGCACTAACATCAAGTGGAGATGTTCAAGAAATAAAAGCTCTTTGTTGGATTTTCCCTCAACTTTAAATGTGCAATAAAACATTTTTGAGTTGCACAGCCTTTGTTTAAATAAATCATTAGTTAAATTCTGGTCTCTTAACTATTTCAGTACCAGTCAAGACATTATCTGTCAAGTCATAATATTACCATTATATGATGAACTGGCTATTAAATAATCCAGTGTCTTCATTTAAAATATAAGGGGAGAATAATCAGTATTTGTGGTCATACTTCAAGCAGATGAGATGACTGGAAATCTGGCTCGTGATTTATTTACACAATACAATTTAATTTGTGATGGTATAAATCCACCAAAAGGATTTGTTTTTACAATTGTATGTGAACTTGTAAAATGTGTGTATGCAGACAGGATTATCCCAGAATCTTTGTTGCATAATAGGAATGAATGAATGAATACAGGGTGTTGTCCTGTGCAGGGTGATCCTGTCACGAAATCATCTGTGTTAAGAATAAAATATTGGAAGACACTCTAATGCTTGACTGCTTAAAGGCAATAATGTTAATAGTAAGAATAAACATTATTAGGAGCTTGTCGTGCTCCTAATCTCTCCTCTTGTAAAATAGTTTTCCTTCGCTTGTATCGGCAAAAAATAACTAAGTCTCTGAATTGAGAGTCTGAAATTTAATATTTCAGATGTATTGGTCTATCACTGACCCCTTCTGGTTATGGCTGCTAAAAGCATCTAGTTCTACTCAGCCAGTTGAATTAGAACAGCTGCCTCTCAATTATAGATTTTTTTTCTAAATGTTTCTAGTGTTCTTCATTTTGAAAAAAAGATGTAAGAGTAGGTTGGTGATTTAACAATGCATGTTTTTCTCTGTCAGGGTTCTTGATTTTTGTATGTATGTGAACCTTGAAGTAGCCATAAATCAGATGCTTAAGCATTTGCATTGATACCAGTGTAGAGTCCGTCCAGTCAAAGTTAGGAAGCAGTGTATTTAGTTTCCCAAACAGAATAACAGATAATGATAAACTAAATATAGCTGTTCAAACAGGTATAACTGAGAGACTGGAAAACATGGATGAGCCATTGTATTCTGCATAATATGATTATAAAATCAGGACTAAACTAAGTGTTCTTTTTTAATTCAAGTCACAGATTAACCTGTCTCAATGGACTATCATCGTCAGTTTATAGCTATTTACCCTCTTCACAAGGAAACTGGTTGGTATCAGTCATTAATGATAATGCATTTGAGACTCCATGATTGTCATGGAAGCTGAAGCACAGTTTACTGCTGTACCTAAAAAGAAAAGCTGGTTAGCTTTGTAGTTTCTAGTTACACGTACTTTTCATTCTACTTTGTGATACCTGTGATGAAAGAAATTAAGTTTTGCACAGATATAAAGTGACTGTATTGCAGACTTTAGTAATAGCTGGTATTTAATAAAACTACAAGATTAATTTTGGAGATATTTAATTTACTTTGGTTTAGTATTGACTATTGTCATGGGAGAAGCTAAAAAATAATGAACACGGACATATATTTTTAGCTAACAATGTTCATTATGCATCTTTCTTTTTTAAAGTCAGCGTAGTTTTTATACATGTGTAATCCCAATACAACTCAACCTTTGCTAATGTGCAGTAAATCAGGACATAATTACTATATTCACACTAGAATATATGACCTCTGCACATTTTGTCAATCTTAAATCCTGCACATTTCCAATATAGAGCAGGAGCACCTACAGAGTTTGTTGAGTTTTGCTTTAAATAGCAAACTTAAGGCTCATTTTATCTTGTCCTTCATGAAGTGTAGGCTTAACTGATCACTCCTGCTGCAAACATAACCCAATTTGGTGCTATTTTTCTGTTTCAAATATAAAATATTCTTCAGCAACAATTTGTTTCTGGTGCTGTCTTAATTGTATTCTTATTAGAAGAAAATACTTACAACCTCCTGTACAAGTATTCTTATTTAACAGAATTTTTAAAAAACTCAGTGGAATACAGTAACAATTTTTAAAAATGTGTCCCTAATTCCTACATGCATGAAGTTGTATGATTTAGAAGAGTTAAATACATCAAGATGCAAAGCAAGGCAACATACTTAATGTTGTATGCTGAAAGTAACTGGATACCTTAATGCTAGCTTCGATATCTAAGTGCTGGAATGGTACAAGAAGATTACTGGGTCAATTTGAAAATGTCCCATTTCTGACTTTTCAATTTCACCTGCAAGGTTTGGTAGATGCACAGGATGTTTGCTTAAATAGACAGGCATTTCAAAATTTGTGCAAATTCCGTTTCTATCAGATCAATAGGCTAGCTGAAGTGAGAGTGCCTGTTCTTAACATTAAGGCAATATTTGTGCATGATGCTAGAATTGAAGTTAGCAAAGATCAAGGGTTATGTCTTCAATGATTAACTATGCCTGGTACAGAAGAAGATGGTTGTGGTTCTTGGAGGCCAATCATCTCAGCCCCAAAACATCACTACAGGAATTTCTAAGGACAGTCTCCAAGTTGCTTCAGTTTAAATGCCGAGTTGTTCTGATTGCAGTGTTCAGTTGCATTTTCAACTTCTTATATAATGAAACAGCCCGTACACACATGCAGGAAGACCTAAATGGCATACGTAAACTGATAATTGGTAAGTAGCATTCATGTAATGCAAATGTTGGAAATGACTGCAACAAGAGAAAGCCCAATAATTATCATCAACTTACCATCCCTAGCTATCATCATTCTGAGGGCACAATTGACCAGAAATGTAGCTAGTCTTGCTACAGAAATGCTAAACAGTGGTTAAATATTCTGATGCTCTACATGTAATTTACTAAAGTTATTCCAACACTTCAAAGGCACTAATCTGAAATGCTCTTCACTTATGTGAATGGGCACAGACAGAACAACATTCAAGGGCAAAACATCATAATATCCAGGATGAAAGAGTGCTTGATTGGCATCACCAACCACTAAATATCCATGACATGTACACTATAGTTGCAGTTGTAATATTTACAGGGTGTGCTTCAGCAACACTTCCTAAACCTGTGACTACCACCTTGAAGGACACAGCCAACAGGTGAATGGGAACATAAAGCCAATTTCTCCAAACAAACAAAACCCTGACATGTACCTCCAATGTCATTCCTTTACTGTTTCTTGGTTTAATCTTGGATCTTCCTACCTCATTATTGTAGAAACATCTTTACCACATGGACTGCAGCAGTTCAAGTATGTGATCTACCATTACATTTTATAGGGCAACTAAGAATGTCAGTAAAGAACAACTTGGCCAGTAATATCAAGCGTAAGTAACGCCCCAGTGAAGTTTTAACTGGCATCTGACCTGGGAACCAGAAGTTGGTTTATTGCTAATCTAAATCCAGAAAAAGTTATTCTAAGTCTAAAATTATTTGTGGAGGACAGAAACAAAGTACTCCATGAGGAAAGGTGCAACTTCTTTTGTCCTCAATTCCAGTCTTTTCCAAGCCACTAACCTGGATGGTGGCACAATTGTAGCCAATCTTTGCTGTCACTCACCTGATGTAATCGTCACACCTGTTCTCTGAGAATTCAAATAGCAATTAAATGAGGCTCAATAATCAAAATCTGCTTGGCATTGCACTGCATCATCTGGGTGCAAAAATCATCTGATTGGGGCAGCTTCCAGAAACTTGCTTAAAGTTAAAACTGACTTCATGAATTATTCTGCAGTAAGGTGGAGGGATTTTACTTTCTTTTCTTTTTCCATCCAATTAGGAGACCAGACAAAGACACCCTTGGTTTTTTACCAACGACTTTTCTCCAGAAGACTGCTTTGAAACATCCGTAGGCTTGTGGCTCATAAAGATTAGTAGATATAAGTCCACATTATACAACTCTCCAGAATTCAGCCAACGACCACCAGATTGCTACCTCTTTTCTAGCATATTAATCTAGTTTTGTGGTTAAAGTTATTAGCTTATATTACAATTTACAATATTATTAACTTGTATCTTTTTTTGTAATCAGTAGTTTGTAATCTTTGTCATGAAATTAATTAGATTGCACATTTTATGGCATATACCTGCTGACCACATACATTGTAATAGGTAATGATTTGGGGCAAAAGGGTCTCTTGTAGAGTGGCAATGCAGTTTTTCTGAAGATTTTGTGGATATTTAGCAGAATTGTTGTTTTTGAATTGTTTAATGTGATAAAAGTTTTGAAACTGTTCTCCATCGTTTGATAATCAGCACAAAAAAGTTTTTTTTTAATTTTCTGTTTTAATTTAAATGCAATTAAAGAAACATCTCCCAAACTAATGAGTGTTTCTGCTATTCATTTGAAGTATACATGGTGGAACTAATGGCACTGATACTTACTTGCTGAAGCAAGGATGAGATGGGTGTCTTGTATGATTTCAGAAAGTCAACATATGCCTCAGTGGCCTTTTAACTCAGCCAGCTCCTTATGATTTTACTTCCAAGTTCAATGGCTAATGAGCAGCAGCAGATGTGGCAAGGATCCAAATGCAATTACTTCAATACAAGTATTTAAAGGACCAAACTCAAAGATGCATCATAGAACATTTGGGAATAAGATGAATTTTTTTTTTAAATGATAGGTCCCTTGGTGTAATGCTGGGGCTGTGATGAGCTAGAGATTATCTGCTCCAGCAATAGGATGAAGAACCTGGTGAGGTGTGGCCTAGATATTGAAGAACAGGAACATAATGTTTCCTATACTCTGCCATCCAACCAGCCGTACTCCTGGATTCAGTGCAAGAAGTGCTTTTATGACCTAATAGGAAAAGTGAGTGCAGTTACTCATAAAACTGTGTACTCCATTCCCATTTGTTTGCTTTGTCAAACTTACTGTATCTTATCAGCTTTCATATCCACTTACCTTGTACATCATGTTTCTTTCAACATTGCATCTGTTCTTCCACTACTTATCTCTCCATTTTGTGCAAATTCTGTCAGTCACACCAACCAGACACATTCCACCCATTGGGTGAATTCCTGTCATTACACTCACATACAAGACTTCATTTCCTTACTGAAAAACAGCACCAAACACTTGGAAGAGGGAGAGAACAGAAGACAGTCCTCCACACCATCTTGGCTCATAAATGCTGAGGAGGAGGTGAAGAAGATAAATTTTGATTTCAGCATCCCACTAGGGTAATATCATTAAATATTAGCAAGCTCTATTACATACAGCACTTGGCCATGTTTTGATTTCAACTGAGTGAAATGTAATCATCTCCAATAATGACTTTAATTTCATATCTCACCAGCACTAATCCTTGCCTTTTATTTCTGACAGGGCTTTCATGAAGTAGCAGAAGCTGGTGGATGTTTAAGATGGGGATTCTTTAGGATGTAGTATCTCAGGATACACCAGCAAAGGTACCCACATTTCAGTTAGATAACTTAGTTCGGTTTTCAACTCATAACTCTCACTTTCTAAGTGAGCAAGAGCATTTTGGGCAATGACAGCAGTGAGCAGATTGTGTCAGAGGATGCAGACCTAACCAAGTTCTGTTCAGCTGGAAACTTCCTTGGGCTTACTAGGCAATAAGCACACACCTGGTGCTCATATGACATTTTTGTAACACTGTTGGCTAGGGATCTTGTGGTGCATAGGTAGTGTCCCTACCTCTTGAGCCAGGAGATCCAGGTTCAAATCTCAACTGCTCAAGTGATGTAGCATCTCTGAACAAGGTTGATTTGAAAATAACTAAAACTATTGAGCTTCATTGTGTGGGTTTTTCACTTCTCATCAGTTATGTTTGAGATAGGTATCCATCATCTCCAACAGCTATCGACCAAGTCTGCTCACAGTTCTAAAGGCATCAGGGATCTTGGACTCCTGAAGGAAAAAAGAAAGTCATAGAACATTGCTGGAATCTTGTGCTCACATACGTAATTATATTTTTGTGATAGCATGCCAGCTGTACATTGATGGAACTGAAGCCATTGAGGTTGACAAATGCTCCTTATTAATCTCTGGATTGCCAAATTGGAAATTTATTGGTCTTGAGCATTTATGAGCTGCTAAATCTGGAATTCGAGATATGGCTCTGACATCACCCTGAACAGACCCAGAGACAATGAAATTGAGGATAGTGGGCTATTTGAGTCCCTGATAACACATGGCCACGGTGAACAACAGGCTGCCAGACACTGTCTAATATGACAGCCTGAAAATCTTGAGAAACTGTTGATCAGATGTGCTAAGGAACCATTCTGTCACCACATCGGAGGTAGTGCCTCCTACTAGCTCGAAAGCTACTAGCAGACATACTGTGAGCAATTATCCAGTAATTTGACAGTACTGAGCATTATTGTGGTATTTCCACACAATTGATTCTCTTTGCCTTGCTTCCATTGGTGAGTTTCAGGAAACCAATAGATAAATCATTAAATTTAAATTTCATTTAATTTCAAATTAAATTTCAGTTCAAAT